AAACGGGAAACGCTGCAGCAAAGAATACATTGTACACATGGAAATAAATTAGTAAAAAAATAAGTATACTTTTGAAACTGATTTTTATATACCTGTAGGCGTTTAAACATTATCATATGCTTTAAATGTAAAACCCAGTCATACGCTTATAATGGTAAGCGCATATTTGATAGTTAAGTTTAATGAATGAAACTAAACACATATAACTTTTAATCTAATTAAACGCCCACCACCCCCTACCCAAAAACGGTTACAGTTTCAAGACAGTTACTCACTGGCCAAATATGCAGTTATTTTCTGATCATACAGCTGAACCACCTACGGTTTTTCTTTCTTTCTTTTCTTCATTTACTTCAGTGAAAGTGTATAAGTATTTTGTATGGATGTCAACATACTATTTTATTTACATTTTGCTACTTTTATGATACTAGTAAATAATTTTCCATACACTGTTACTTTGTTCAAGTGATATGTCTGCAACATGGTCTAAATCCTTTACTTAAATTGAGTGTAAGTTCAATGCAGTATATATAGACCGAGTTGAATAAATTATATTATGCGAGCCTCTGACGAGCATATTATTTCATTCAACGAGGTCAATTAATTCAGTAATGAACCTACACGATTATGATATTATGTTTAATACATACCCAAAATAAGACTGTTTAAAGTGCAAAAGAGGCTTATAGAATACAATTTAGCGCATCATTATACTATGTTTGTATAATGCAAATGACCTCACGTCAAAATATATGCATGGCCGTGCAGTACCATTTTTTACCTTGTGGCAAAACCGGCACGGGTATGTGATAAGTAGTATTAAACACAGCTTTGTCCTTTCTAAAGAAGAACAAATGTGTGATTCTAAAGCTTATGGGCCTTTAAAGCAAACGGATAAGATGTTTTTAGCATACCAAACGCCCAAGACACAACAATGGATTCGAAGAAACATATCCAAAGCAACACCAGTCCGCTTGCACTGTAGTAATCGAACATTTGAAACACGTACATTCCTCCCTGAAAACAACCATGTAAAACTTCATTTCAATTGGTTTAGAAAACAAAACACGATTTTTTACAATCAGATGTTGATAAAACTATTTTTGTTGTTCGATATGATTCTGTCCTGTACATTAGTTTTTATCATGGCCGCTTCATTTAAAGAATTAAGTCATGTTAACTGGGAGAATTATTGTACATATGGACATAATTATTTCACAGCTTATATAATATAACCAATGCCTATGTGATTTCCCTACATAAATCCAGTCAAATCAAGTTAGCCTCGTTTCCATTTTGCCAGTCTCAAAATACAAAATACAAACATTTAGGTATCTATATCAATTCATTATTGTACTCCGTCTAATCTCGTTCTCATTTTTCGAGTCCAAATATTCCATATCAAATCACTATTGTTCTCGTCGTACGCAAGTCCCATTTATATTTTCAGAAATAAATTAATGTACGCGAATTAAAACTTCGTGTTGTGAAATAAATATGTCATTATACATTGTTGAGTACAATACCTGTCCTATCACAGTGGTAGACAGTTGTAAAACCTATATTAGACTCATGATAGCATGATACTAAGGATAAGTAAAGTACCTCTGTTAACATAGATAGCCCAAGTAGGTAAGTAACAATGCAATAGACTGCCGTAAAAATCATCCGATTTCTTTTCTTGTACAGATATCCTGGGAAAGCGTCTATAACTGGCGCTACAAATGCTTCTAAATCTACAAACTTAAGTATAACAACTATAGCAAATTATAGAAAATGTATAGAAATGTTCAAATGTTTCAATTAAAAAGAGTCGTATATTGCTTGTTTTATTCAAAATAATAACTAATTTTACAACTATTAACCGAGTATCAAAGGACGCGAGCCTATGCACACATAATTTCACATATTAAAAAGTAATTTCTATTGGTAGTGGTTTAAATAACGGCAAAAACTACTGACTTTAACTATATTTTCTATAAAATTTTGCATGAATCGTTATCGATCTAAAAGGATAATTCCCTAAATGACCCTAACCTGTCTGACTCAAATGTGATAATAAGAATTTCATAACAATGTTCACATATGAAGAACACATGTCAATGTTTGTGTTTAAATCTTTTGGTACTCAAAAGGGTTCTATCAAATATGCTTAGTTATGCTTCATATGCGCGCATATGTGTATTTAAAGTGATAACAAACAGATTATTATTTCATTTCTTCCCTTTTTATACATTAAAATCGTGATGATAAAAGTAAACACATATATTACGACTGTAGATAGTACCCGATTTTTACAATATTTTCCTCCTTTGCCAAAAGTGGCAGCCATTTTGGGTCAATATTCTTTAGAAAAATAATTCACAAAGTACAATGAAAAATCAATACAACCAATTGAGGTGAATTTTCAAATTATTCTACATATATGAAGGGATATATTATTAAAGCACTAATATGTTAAAGATTTTTATCAGTTTTCATAAAGATGATATAATTATGAGAGTTTTTTTATCTTATCTGAAGCATATGATATACTGGAAATGACCCCCAAAATGGCGGTCAAGGGAGGTGATAAAAGCTATGTTAAGGCATCTATGACAGAAGAATATTAAAAACCTACCTGGCTGTCAAATCCAACAAGTATAATCATGAAAAAGAACAGAATAGCCCACAACGGTGATAGTGGCATTTCAGTGATTGCCTTGGGGTATGCAATAAAGACAAGTCCTGGGCCTAAAATGAATACAACATTCTAATAGATATTCAAAGTGTGTACACATTTATTTTAAAAATTTTGGTTTCAAAGCATAAACATTATTCGTACTGTCTAAAACGGATACATATATAGCTATAGGTAATTGATTGTTATAATATTATAATTGAAATTTTAATCAGGCACACATTTTAAAAAAGGAGTTGAACACCAAGTGCTTGGCTTCAAGTATTGTAAGTAAAAGTTCCTTAATTATATCAAATATGATAAATATCTTTCATTGTCCTTTCTATGTTATAAACGCTGAATTTTCGGAATTTTCTAAATTTCAAGTACCAGATTTAGCCACCTCACCGACGGTGACGTTTTGCTCCTTTGCCATGAAACCGAGTACGGAGAATACAGCAAATCCGCCGAAGAAACTGGTACAACTGTTGACGCTAGCAATTATGAAGCTGTCCCTGGAACGAAGATAAAGTACATTTTGATTTAATTACCTATTTTTCCAAACCAATCGCAAGGTACCTTTTTACACGTTTCCGTACAATTACATTTAAAATTTGTGAGCGCACGAGGGCAAATACCTTGAATTTTAAATATCTGTGTACGTCAGTGGACCAAGGCAATAGAATACAGAAAATAAGAATCCATAAAGAAACCCCACACGGCAAAAATTGAAAATGTTGCAGGCTGAGTTTGATTGAGCCTGTTCATGAACGGTACTGTCAAGTGCTAATTACCTTCCACGCCCCCTAGCACCGGCTTAACTAGAATTCAATATTTAACATGAACTGGTACACTTTGGAGTTTTGAAACATCCACAGACCTTGTCCTTGTGACCTTGTCCGATTTCAAGATTTACCAGTAAGCAGTAATACTCAATAAGCATTGCGTCACGTTTAAAATGATGAATATATATTTATGTTAGAGTGTTTTGTGAATAGAGAGACTCCACGTATAATGACTTACAGAAGATAAAAAATGATTCAGAAAATAAAACAGAATAAATAAATAATTATTTCAAGTTTAGTTCAATACAAAATACATGTATTATTACGGCTAGTACACCGCAAGGACATAATCCGGCTTGTACAGAACACTGCTACTACATAATAATATAATTTTAACATGGAAATCAACTGGATTTTTGTAATTCGCCCTGTCTTGAATCACAACAGCCACTTAAATGTGGAAATATTTCAAAGTCAAAATACAAAAAATAAGGTATCAAATATATTGAGCCTTGTACATTCCTTTATATATATATATATATATATATATATATATATATATATATATATATATATATATATATATATATATATATATATATATATATATATATATATATATATATATATATATATATATATATATATATATATATATATATATATATATATATATATATTTATTTATTTATTTATTTATTTGTTTGGGTAAAAGCCCTATCAATGAATCTGTAACCACTTAGCCTCTGGCGACAACTCATTCTATCCAGACGACCGGGCAGACCAGGGTTCAGCTGGTACAACTGTGCCGTCTGATCGTGGTTTGCACTGTTTAATTTTAAGATATTTAGCGAGGTTAGTGTTACAGTACCTGTAGAAATTGTTATTGAACTTGTTATAACCTCCAAGAGTAGTAACAACGCCGGTAGCTAGAACATACGAGTAGAAAATCTGTGTACCACCGTCGACCCATACCTAAAAAGCCATAAACAAGTTACAAAATCTGAGCTGCCCTCTTTTGTATCTAGTATTTGTGATTTATAATCACTTCAATTTTCAAAATGACAATCAACTCTTTGCACTGACATCAAAAAGTAAAATTAAATTCATTCCTTCTTTCATATCATTTTTAGTTTATAACACGATAAAAAGAGTTTGTAGTTTCAGAAAGGAATTAGATCTATGTCTAATATTTCTCATCCGACATAAACCACAAAAACACACACATGCACGAGGACACACACACGCACGAGGACACCCACACGCACGCACACCCACATACAGAAACACTACCTGGGGATCTTTAAGTCTTGAAAAATCTGGTCTTAGGTAAAAATAGATACCATCGCCTGCTCCGTCGAGAGTTACCCCGCGAATAAAAAGTATTATAAGGATAACGTATGGAAATAAAGCTGTAAAGTACACAACCTGAATCGAGAGAAAAATCTTGTTAAAATCGACCTACAAGACGAAGTACATTACAGTGTTGAAACATTAAATAAGTGCATCCACTCAACAACTCTTGAAATAAACAAGTTGTAATAAACAAATTCGCAATACGTTCACGATTTGATGAACATATATAGTATTGACATCTCTACACATAGTCTTCAAAAGTTACAAGACACACCAATATAATTATATTATTGTTTATTTAAAGGCCTTCATTTTACATTACAATGAAAGTAAAGGTGCATAAAAGTAAACGTACAAAGACCAAATAGGACAGTGTACAGTTTAAAAATCATGGCAATGGCCATTAAAAATTAATTACCTTAAAGGATAAAGAATGGCTGACATAAAAGCGCTTTTATTTTATTGAAAATATTTGAAATAGTAGCTTTAGGATAAAAATGGTATTAAAGTCAATCGTTTATGAGAGAAACGAACGTTTATTTATTTATTTTTGTGAGCATACGGGCGCATCCATGTTAACGATTTAATTCTCGCGAGACCGAGAATGTGATGTCATATACCCACTTCCGGTTAAATCGCGCGCTATGAAAATTAACAACAACAACTCGACTCTGCTGGATTTTTTCCCATTTATTTCACTGTGAAATAATTATTTACGAAAAATTTTATTAACTGATAGCTTGAAAAGTGTGTATATATCGTGTAGCTATAATTGAAGTCAAGATATGTGACCGGATCACCTGTGTATCGAAAGTAAATATGACGCTGGGCCAGGCTTAATTGTGTAAACAAATCGACTCTGGCTTTCTCTGCTGGATTTTTTTTGTGTTATAATCATTGCGAAAATTCATGTAAAGTGTGTTTATATTGTGCAGCTATAATTTAAGTCACGATATGTGACAGGATCATCTGTGTTTTGAAAGTTAAACATGCCGCAGTGCCAGGCTTTTAATTGTGTAAACAAAAGTGGATGTGGGAAAAGTTTTTTCCCTATTCCGGATCCTCTTAAATCTTACGATCACAGGAAATTGTGCAAGAAATGGATTGAAAACCTTCACAACAAGAAATTAAATCTGCAAACATTTAAAGCTCATCGACAAAAGGTTGTGTGTGAGGACCACTTTACGGATGATTGTTTTGAGGGTAACAAGACAACTCATCCCCCAGACGATTCACCACCCAAAAAAGCAAGACAACTCACCCCTCAAGACATTTCACTCCCCAAAATAGATAAGACAATTCACCCCTCATAAATGATAATCATGTTTATGGGTAAAAAAGAATAAAAAAAGTCAGTATATTTATTTATTTATTATGTCGTATTTACAAAATATAACTATAACAGCACATATACCACAAAAATATATTTTTATTCAATCAAATCAAATAGCACATAATTTATATTAAGGGAAATGCCCATAATAATCTTGATATTTTTATTGTATATATGATGCAAACATGTACAACTGTTTAATTATCCATTATCTTAAAGTGCTGAAAAACATATTGTCTATTCTACATCCACTTTTTCATCAGAAGCACTTAACACCTTATCATTGCTTGATTGTCACTTCAACAAAATATCATGGAGAAGAAGTACATTGTATCATTTCTTTTTGGGATATTGTAAGGTTTCAAAATGTCATTTTATGTCATTCAAGTATAATCGGGACATTTGGGAAATATTGCATGATTGGCATTTCATGTCATTATCACATATAATGGGGATTAGTATCATTTGGGTTGGGGAATATTACATGTCTCTGCCAGGAATCTATCTAATCACTAGTTATCACTTCACTTAACAATTCATCCATATATTTCCCCCACTTGCTCAAGGAATTCCTCGGCTCTGAGCTCATGCTCATCATACAAATCCCATAAGGAAAAAATGTCCTGATCCATTGACTTATAAATCTGTCTTCGTATACGCACATGGTGAATTTGTAATTTTACAGTTTGTATGTAAATAATATGTAAAAATATTAACACATAGTAACAAATATTATTTTTTAAGTAATGAATTATAATAATTAATTTAAAAATGACTAAATATTTTATAAATATCAATTTAGTAAAGAAACACAACAAATTTGTTTATTGCATCTTCTAATTTTAAGATAAATTTCATCAAAATTAATTTTAAGAAAATGGGGGGTGAATTGTCTGTCATTTTTCCAATAATGAGGGGTGAACTGTCTGATGGGTGAATTGTCTGGAAAAAATGACTTAGGGTGAATTGTCTGGGGGGTGAGTTGTCTGTAAGCCGTTTTGAGGGCCCATACACATGTAAAGTGGCACAATCTCTGAATTTTAAAAGTAAGAGAAAGGGACTAGTATTCGGTTCTGTTCCGACAATTGTTAATGTAAACAATCACTCATCCTTAAAGGAGACCACTTAGAATCGACCTTCAATAGATAACATTCGTTTGAAACGATTAAAAGCACAGGTAAATTATTTATTAGCTTATTATATGAAGTCATAATTAGTTACACTGATTAGTCTCAATGGACATTTTCATATTAATATATTAATTAATATACATATTTAATGAGAAAATTTAAAGACTCTTTAAAAAAAACAAATGTATATGTAAAATTTTGCCACAGTCATTCTGAAAGTACGAAAATATTTGCTACGAAACAAAAGATCAAATCAGGGTCAGCTCGGCCCAAATCGTACTCGTTACCCGAGTCAGCTCGGCACGGATCAACTCGGCCCATAAGTATATATTACTGGTAATGATTACTTTTATTACTTTTTATATGTTAACAATCTAAACAATCTATATATATCCTAATATAAATTTTAATAGGGGGGCGAGTTGACCCGTGCCGACTTGGTCTAGGGCCGAGTTAACCCTTTACCAAAAGATCTATATCAATCAGATGCATAGTACCAAGCCTTTGCTTGAACTGTTATTGTGTCAGTTGATACAGGAATTAAGAAGGAACATTTAATGGAACTTAGACACTGTCACAGTTGTAGTTAGTAGGTATTCTGCGGTACCCAGTATTCTGTGCAAATTAAGATACTCAACTTTCAATAACACAATTGAATATTGAGGGTAAGCAGCTGAGTCACCCCCACCCCACCCCTGCCAGTCATTTTCGAACCTATTAATGTCCCATTTGTTTTTTTTTTTTATCTTTTCAATATCAATCTAGAGCTGCCATTGATGGAGACAATATCAATGTATCGTTGATATTTTTTCTGTCAATCAATATAAATTGATACACATTTGATGAAAAACTGTTAAACTTTTACAAAAGCAGGTGGTCATGTCTAACATTAAGCTGTTGTCTCATAATGGAATTCTTTCATAGCAGTGATGACAAAAAATGCAGTTACCAGGGATTTTTTCCGGGATATTGGGAACACGACCCATGATCCATACCCATGGGAATGGAAATTTCAGCAGTGTTTAGTTAAAAATTGGGAAAAATGCATGACTGAAAGTTTGAAGTAATTAAATGGATGCAAACAATTACCGTCTATGATGGCATCTTCAAACATTTAAGCACTATTACAGTGAAGAAGCCTTTGTTTGCAAAGATTATAGAATTTAGGAATATATTTCGGTGTATCGCCAATATTTGTCATCCGATTCCAATCATAATTAATGTATAGTCATTATGCTTTGTAATGAATCAATGACAGAGCTCTCTAATAGGGGTGTAACAATACAGCAAAAACCATATTGCAATATATTGCCATTTTGCTGAAGCGTATTGCAATGTATTGCAAATTATGCGGCCGCTTATTGACTTTTAAGTGTACTAGTTGTCGGATACTTTTATCTTACGTTGGCGCCAACAAAATTCGCCAATTAAAGATTTTATGTGAAATTTGTACAAAATTAGAAGGCAATTAATTGAAAATTATGATTTTTATAAAATACCGGTTTTCAAAAAATGGTACCGCGGTACAAAATTTATTTTTTCATATTGCAATATATCGGTATACCGGTAAACCGTTACACCCTTACTCTCTAATCATGTGTCTATTTTTGTTCCTTTTGAATGTTACATTCTGTAACATGTTCCTCTGGTGTATTGATAATTTAAATCAAAGCCTTTTTCAGGAATTCATTACAATCTGTCCGAAAGTCTGCAAGTTCTGTCTGCATGAAACTCTTGTTGTCCAAGTTAAATTCCCTTATTTTTTAGCTCGACTTTTTTTTTTTTTGAAAAAAAAAGTAGAGGTATTGTTATAGTCAGGTCGGCGTTGCCGTTGCCGTTGCCGTTGCCGTTGCCGTTGCCGTCCGAAAACTTGTACCTGGATCATAACTTTTTTATTTCTTGGTGTATTGTCTTCATACTTGGCCACAACAACCCTTGGGACAAGACCTTTCAGTAGACCACACTAACCTTGACCTTCATCCATAAATGACCTTGACCTTCAAGGTTAAAAGTCCAATTTTTGCTTGTTCATGCTGTTATTGGCTGTTACTTTGTTATTTTTGAATGGATTGTCTTCAAACTTGAACATAATAATCTTCAAGGATATCCCTTAAAAATAACCAGTCAGACCTTGACCATCACTCATCAATGACCTTGACTTTGAAGGTCAGATTATTGAAATTTTCATTTTTTTGGCTATAATTGGCTGTAACTTTGTTATTTTTAAATGGATTGTTTTCAAACTTGAACATAATAATCTTCAAAGATAACTGTTAAAAATATACCGAAAGACCTTGACCTTCACTCATTAATGACATTGTCTTTGAAGGTCAAATTATTGAAATTTTCATTGTTTTGGCAGTAACTGACTGTAACTTTGCTATTTATATAAATGTGTCTATATATATATATATATATATATATATATATATATATATATATATATATATATATATATATATATATAAAATATATATATACATATATATATACATGTATATATATATATTTTTTTTTTTTTTTTTTGAATATATATATGCATATATATAGATATATAGATAGATATATATATATAAATATATATATATATATATATATATATATATATA